TCCCAAAGTGCTGAGCGTACAGGCCGAGCCACCAAGCCCAGCCAAAGGGCTGTGTTAAAATTTTGGTCGACTGTTTAGTTATTATTAGGAGACAGGGTCTTGCTTGGTGGCCTAGGCTGGAGTGCAGTGGCGTGACCATAACTCACCGCGGCCTCGAACTCCCGGCTCACGCGATCCCGGCACTTCAGCCACCGAGGAACCGGGACTACAGGCGCGAGCCACCATGCCTACCAACTTTTTTTCTTTCTTTCATTTTTTTGTAGTGACCGCGGCTTGCTATATTGTGCAGGCTGGTCTCGAACTGCTGGCCTGGAGCAGTTCTCCCATCTTGACCTCCCAAAGTGCTGGGATTCCAGGCTAGAGCCACTGCGCCCAGCCTGTCGGGAGAGCGATGTTCTGGGCCCCCATTCACAGTAGAAAACAGGAATCAAGTCTCTGGAGGTGGGTCCTGGAACATGTTTCTTCTGGTGAAAGCTTCCCCCTTCCTGACAAATGGAGCAAACGCTAGATGGTGGACCTTGGTGCTGATTTGACTGAAATAATATACCGTCACCTTTGAAAAGTTCTCTCTAGAGAGGAGGCAGAGAAACAGACATAATTTCTGTGATATGCAGGTTAAGTCGCTTTGTGGTTTAGGAATTTAAGAGAGCTTGTGCTTTGGAGCTAACGGGACAGGGTAAGAATTCCTGTTGTACCATTTTCTAGCCTTTTGATGTGGTGCCAGCACTTCCCCTCACCTTCCCCTCTCTGAGACTTGGGATCCTCATCTCTTTTTTTTTCTCTTCTCTTTAAATATTTATTTTATTTTAAAGATGTGCAGTACAATTCAGAATTAGGTATAAGAGTGGTCATCGTACAGGTAAAGTTCGGGCCTCCCTTTGGTCCCATGTCACCTGGCTTGAGATCAGGTACCCTTATGATGTTATGTGCCCTCCCCACCAGTAGTTTCCGGGTACTGCCAATCTCCTTCTTATAATATTTTGGTAAATGTTCAGGGTTTGCTTATGAGTGAGAACATGTGGTACTCAGTCCTTTGTTCCTGTGATAGATCACTGAGTATTATAGACTCTAAACCCATCCAAGTTGCTGTGAAGTCCATAATTTTGTTCTTCTTTATGGCTGGGTAATGTTGGGAACCTCATCTCTACAATGAAATTGATGTACTTAAATTACATTAGAGAGTACTGGACCATGAACAATTATCGCAATACTATAAGAAAAGGATTGACAGCAGTGGGAATCTGGGTGGGTGGGGCACACCTCATCTACAAGGGTACATGCATGATGAAACATTTGTATACCTAGCCCTGAGTTGTACCCCACATCTTTAAAATAAAAAATAAAATAACATTAGAGAGGATGTAAAACAGCGATTCCTGTCTTGAGGAATATACATGGTGTAGGATGCACAGGACAGAGCTGCCCACCTGAAGAGGGTTGAGTGGTGTGAAATATGGGCTGTCTCAAATTTTATTTTGAAATACCAGATCAATGTTAATTCCCTGATTTTGGAAATTGTGCTGTGGTTATAAGAATATTCTTGTTTTGAGAATACACTCTGAAGTATTTGAGAGTAAAGAAATGAGCCGGGCACAGTGGCTCAAGCCTGTAATCTCAGCACTTTGGGAGGCCGAAGTGAGAGGATTATCACCTGAGCTCAGGGGTTTGAGATCAGCCTGGGCAATTTGATGAGACCTCATCTCTACAATAAATCAAAAAATTAGCTTGGTGTGGTAGCATGCGCCTGGAGTTTCAGCTACTTGGAAGGCTGAGGTGGAAGGATCGCCTGAGCCCAGCAGGTTGAGATTGCGGTGGCTGTGAGCATGCCACTGCACCCTAGCCTTGGTGGCAGAGTGAGACTCCGACTCAAAAAAAAAAAAAAAAAAAGAAATGTGAGACCTGGTACGGTGGCTCACGCCTATAATCCCAGCACTTTGGGAGACTGAGGTGAGAGGATTGCCTGAGCCCATGGGTTCGAGACCAGCCTGAGTAACATGGCAAGACCTTATCTCTACAATAAATCAAGAAAAAATAGCCAGGCGTGATGGCACGTGCCTGTGGCTCCAGCTACTCAGAAGGCTGAGACAGAAGGATCACCTGAGCCCTGCAGGTCAAGGCTGCAGGGACCGTGAGCCTGCCACTGCAACTCCAGCCTGGGCAACAGAGTGAGACTTCAACTCAAAAAAAAAAAAAGTGAAACCAGTAAAGCAAAATGAAGGAAAATGTAAACCTTTGGAGGATCTAAGTGAAGAATATAAAGTGTTCTTTGTATATTCATGCAACTTTTCTGTAAATCTGAGTGTATGTTAAAATAAAAGTTTTTAATGGTTGTAGCCTGGGCGCCATGGCTTATACCTGTAATCCCAGCTCTTTTGGGAGGCAGATGTGGGAGGATCACTTGAGACCAGAAGACCAACTTGGACAACATAGCAAGAACCTGTCTCTATGAAAAGAAAAAATTAGCCAGGTGTGGTGGTGCACACTTAAAGTCCCAGCTACCTGGGAGGCTGATGGGGGAGGACACTTGGGCCCAAGAATTCAGGGCTTCAGTGAGCCAAGAGTGTGCCACTTTACTCCAGTCTTGGTGACTTTTTTTTTATGACTAAAAAAAAAAAGTTGACTGTAGCTATGTGCAACTAGAGCATTTTATAAATAATTAAAACAGCACATAAGTGTTTGTAGAGACCCTCACTCCTTTTATCTTATGATTGTATAGTACTATATAGGTCTCCAGTTTTACCCAGTCCTAATTGATGAAGGACTGGATTATTTTCAACTTTTCCAAATAGTGCTGCGTTAAAAATCCTTGCATACATCTTTGTGTACTTACACCAGCATGCTTATAGGATACATTTCTAGAAATCCTTTTTTGGTGCAGACCTTTGTTTTGCTAAGCTCTGGTCTGGCCATGTGGCTCTTTGAACTATGGCTGCCTTGTTTATGAGAATTTCCCCATATTCTCTTGGGTGGTATTGCCTAGCACCTGGGAATCAATTATACAGATTTTGCAGTGATCATGAGGCCAACTTCTGTGAGAACTGTAGTGTGTGGGAACTCTCCACCCCAGAGGATTCTTTGCTGTGCCAGAAGAGCTGAGGGCCTGCTTCTGAATTTGGGATGACCACTCCTGAGAAACAAAAGAATGTGACATCTGCTGGAGTCCAGAGTCTGTGATATAGGAATGATGTTAATATGTAAGTGATGGGATATTTGAAATCTTGATTTGAAGTCTAGATGAAAAAAGTTCACACCAACATTAATGTTTAGTTAGAGAAGGAGAGGAAGAGACAGTAAAGGAGATTGAGAGGGAGTGGCTGGGAAGGTAAGAGGAAAACATGAATGTCAGAGTCACGAAATTGAGGGAGGAGGGCAATATGTTGAGAAGGAAGAAGAGGACTGCTGAAAGATTGAGATGAACACACTATGGCTCATGTGATTCCTTTTGGGGGGAGGGGTCGGAGTCTCACTCTGTCGCCCAAGTCTGGAGTGCAGTGGCATGCTCAGCCACCGCAGCCTCACCTGCTGGGCTTGGGCGATCCTTCTGCCTCAGCCTTCTGAGTAGCTGGAACTACAGGCGCATGCCACCACACCTGGCTAATTTTTTAAAATTTATTGTAGAGATGAGGGCTCACCAAGTTGCTCAGGCTGGTCTCGAACCCATGGACTCAGGCAGTCCTCTCACCTCGGCCTCCTAAAGTGCTGGGATTATAGGTGTGAGTGACCACCCGTACGGGTTCATGTGATTCTTGATGACTTTGATGAGTAGTTTTACTGGAGTTGTAGGGGCTGAAGTCAAGATTGGAGAATGACAAAAATGAATATACAGAAGTGTGTAAAGCAGTATAGCTTGGTAGCATTACATTAAGTCACATTGTGCAGGACTTCTGGATTCCACATCCCTCACCAATTGTATCCATTTTGCCTCCATAGTGAAATCTCATGTCACAGTCACTTTTGCTTTATATTTTAGATTGACGTCCAACAACAAACACTTAAACTCTAACAAACACTTTGACAAAATTAACACTGCTCAGTTCCTGACACTTGATATTATTCAAGGTTCCTGGATGAAATGATCCAAATCCATATCCTTTTTGTCAGAGTGTACTCTACAATTTTATATGGACATAATAACTTTCCTTTTTTTTTTTTGAGTTGGAGTCTCACTCTGTCGCCCAGACTGGAGTGCAGTGGCTGCTCCTGGCCACTGCAGCCTCGACCTGCTGGGCTCCAGTGATCCTTTTGCCTCAGCCTTCCAAGTAGCTGGAACTACAGGTGCGCGCTACCACACCTGGCTGACTTTTTTTTATTTATTGTAGAGACGAGATCTCACCAAGTTGCCCAGGTCTCGAACCCGTTGCCTCAGGCAGTTCACTCACCTCAGCCTCCCAAGGTGCAGGATTACAGACTGAGCCACCGAGCCCGGCAGACATAATAACTTTTCTACATCTCTTATAGAAATTTCAAACCCAGTATCTTCTGTGGCCATAATAACCTCTACTTACTCCATTTTAAGTCTAAGCATATAATCCAGTGAGAAGATTCTCAAGTGCTTAAAATTGAATTATCAGAAGTTTTTCTTTATAGATGAAAGGATACTACATCATTTTTTTTATGCTGATGAAAGTGTTGAGAGGGAAACATATGTGGATGATTGAGAATATAATACCTAATTAGAAAAGGCTGGCAGACTTTTTCTATGGCCAATGTTAATTTTAGAAACTAAGAAGATCATCTTGTTCTGGGCCCCAAACTTCTAGAAGAAAAGGTAGAAAATATTCTGTCTGTAGTCACTAAATGTAACACGTTTGTTTTGTTGCTCTGCTCTAAGTCTTTGGTCTGTTTCCATAGGTTCTGATCTTCTACAATGGGTGAACCACAGCAAGTGAGTGCACTTCCACCACCTCCAATGCAATACATTAAGGAATATACGGATGAAAATATCCAGGAAGGCTTAGCTCCTAAGCCTCCCCCTCCAATAAAAGATAGTTATATGATGTTTGGCAACCAGTTCCAATGTGATGATCTTATCATTCGCCCTTTGGAAAGTCAGGGCATTGAACGACTTCATCCGATGCAGTTTGATCACAAGAAAGAACTGAGAAAACTCAATATGTCTATCCTTATTAATTTTTTGGACCTTTTAGATATATTGATAAGGAGCCCTGGGAGTATAAAACGAGAAGAAAAGCTAGAAGATCTTAAGTTGCTTTTTGTACATGTGCATCATCTTATAAATGAATACCGACCCCACCAAGCAAGAGAGACCTTGAGAGTCATGATGGAGGTCCAGAAACGTCAACGGCTTGAGACAGCTGAGAGGTTTCAGAAACATCTGGAACGAGTAATTGAGATGATTCAAAATTGCTTGGCTTCTTTGCCCGATGATTTGCCCCACTCAGAAGCAGGGATGAGAGTAAAAACTGAACCAATGGATGCTGATGATAGCAACAATTGTACTGGACAGAATGAACAACAAAGAGAAAATTCAGGTTATAGGAGAGACCAGATTATAGAGAAAGATGCTGCCTTGTGTGTACTGATTGATGAAATGAATGAAAGACCATGAAGGATATTTCTCTTTCTTCTTTTCTTTTTTCTTTTGACACATAATAGCATCATATATTAGTTTATTTTCTTTTGGATAATCTTAAGAGAGGTATAACTAAAAATGTAAACAACTTTAATTTTGACTTTCCATCTTTTTCAGTTATGAGATGACCTAGGCAGTAATGTCACAGTATAACAAGTACAGGCAAATGAATGCCCCTATACTAAGAGTAATCACTTTAGAAAGCAAAATGTTTCCTGCTGTTTTGTGGGACATTCCTATTTTTTGGAGTTGCTGTACAACTTTGAAGATAACCTCAATAATGGCAAGGTTTCATCCTTGAAGAGGAAATTTATCATTTTTTTAACGAATGATAGATAGATAAAGGATATCAAGCTGTATAAATGTGAAACTATAACATTTTTAGACTTCATTAAATATTGTGTTTTAAAGAGAGGAACCCTGTAGAATTACAAAATGGGAACTTTAGTTTTCCTAGGATTGCTCCTATAAACCCATTATCTCAGCCTCTTCTCTGTTGGATGGAAACTTGAGTCCCATAATTTTTTTTTCCTCAGTCAGGTAGTAAGTACTTTGGTCATTTTTAGTTACAAACATTTATTTTAGTAATTAAGATGTTTATGTTATTAGCCACACATTTTCTCAGAAGGTAAACTCAGACTTGCCTGAGACTAGAAACCTACAATGGGAAAGGAATTTTTCTACCAAAGATTTCTTGGTCCTCTTGGAGCTATGTTGCTGAGATATGGCTGACTGGTCAGGGACTGCATTTTTCTCCACTGCCCTTGTTTTTATGTAAAGCGATGTGACTAAATTCTAGAAAGTGAAATATAGTTGTGAGAATCCAGGCCTGCCCCATAAACATTTCGTGATCCTCTATTCTCTTCTCTTAGTAGTTGTTGGGTAACTGTGCCCAGGATAACTTTGATAGAGGAGAGGAAGCTCACATAAAATCAAAATAGCTGAAGGAAGAGTGGAGTTAGTGAGGAGGACCTAATCCTCACAGTCAAAGTCCCAAACTGACAATCTTGGCCATAACTTTTACTTTCAAAGTTTTCTCTACCTGCCATTTTCTTGTAGGCCAGGGATTCTCAAAGTGTGGTCCTGGACTAGCAGCGTTAGTATTACTAGAGGACTTGTTAGACATGAAAATTCTCTGACTCCACTGCAGACCTGAAGCAAAAAAATCTAATGGGAGGGTCTTGCAAGCTGTTTTAACAAGGCTACTGTATTATTCTGACATGTGCTAAAGACTAAGAATCACTGATGGAGGTAATGCCATTTCCCAGGTGTCCAATTTGATTTCCTCCATTAGACCCTGACATCTAGCATAGGGATTTGCTCCTTTAAGGTCCCATTGGCCCTGGAGCTAGCAAAGTTCAGTTTAAAGTGGCCAATTGCATGTGCTGTGCATCTCCTTTGCCTTCACAGATCTAGGGCGTGAAGGCTGTTCTCAAGGAGACGCCTTCAGACTTGTAGTTAATTGGCCAGTCTCAATTCAGTTTTCTCTGATGTTTGGTATAGACCTTTGGGCTCCAGAAATTCCAGAGGACACAGTCCAGGCTCTTTAAAGCTTAAATGGAAGGAAAGGGAGCATCCTCCCAACTCCTTGTGAGAGAGCAAGGTGGAAATGACATAGCACTTGAGCAACTCCAAAGAAATTTTTCTTTTTCCTTCTTTGGCTGTTTTAGAACCTTGAGGGTGTTGGACTTGGGTATATAACCAGTTTTCAGCTACTTTGAATATCTTTGCACGTAAAAATCTATGCAGTTCCCCATGATGTGATATGAGTCAGAACAATTACTCGTATATGAGTGTGTGTGTGTGTGTGTGTGTGTGTGTGGTGTGGGGAGAGTTTTAGACCTCTGGTGGATCTGATCTTGCAAATCTATGAGTGGGACCTATCTTAAACTCTTACAGAGTTCTGATTTGAGCTATTGCTATTACAGTGGAATGAAGAAGTACTAGCGGTCTGGTAGTTGCCACAAGTTTAAAAGCTTATACAAGATCTTTCAATCTTGGCCAGGCATGGTGGCTCATGCCTATAATCCCAGCATTTGGAGAGGCTGAGGTGAGAGGATTGCCTGAGCTCAGGGTTTGAGACCAACTTGGCAAGACCTCACCTCTACAATAAATAAAAAAATTAGCTGGGCGTGGTGGCGTGTGCCTGTAGTTCCAGCTATTTGGAAGGCTGAGGCGGAAGCATCACCTGAACTCAGCAGATTGAGGCTGTGGTGGCCATGAGATTACCACTGCACTGCGGCCTGGACAACGGAGTGAGACTCCAACTTAAAAAAAAAAAAGATCTTTCAATATTGTCAGAATTAAAATATATTTATGTGCACCTGCTTATAATGAATGTGCTTGAGAGATTTTTTAATCAAAGTGAAATACAAAAAGTCATCTGGGTAGCTCTTGAAATGATCAATGCCAAGGGCCCAGACTGCAGAGATTCTGATTTCAATTTTTTTTGGGGGGGACTGGGGCCCTGGCATCGGTTTTAAGAAATCTGATTATGGTTTGTGCAGTGGTTAAATGAGTATTACATTACTCAGTGTTCTATTATTGGTGACAAAAACTCTAACTAGTTTAGACAAAAAGATGTATTTATTGAAAGAATATGAGGTATGTTGATTGAAGTCTTAAGTTGAACATCAAACAGGAGGATAGAAAGAGTCTTGGGAGTTTTGAGTTGGCGACCCTGGAGATTCTCCCCTTTATCTTCATTCTCTTTACAGACCAGTTTCTTTAATGGTATAGATGGAGAACAAGGCTGCTAACAATTCCCAAGAGTTAAATATTTCTGTGTTTACCACTGTCTGGGAGTTGCCTCTCAAATACAGACTTATTTAAAAAATGGGTCAGGCACAGTGGCTCATGCCTATCATCCCAGCACTTTGGGAGGCCGAGATGGAAGGATTTTTGGAGGCCAGGAGTTTGAGACCAGCCTGGACGACATAGATTCTGTCTCTATTTAAAGAAAAATTAGCCGAAGCATGGTGGCATATACTTGTGGTCCCAGCTACTTGGGAGGCTGAGGTGGAAAGATAGCTTGAGCCAGGAGGTCAAGGTTACAGTGAGCTATAATCATAACTACTGTACTGCAGCCTAAGCAACAGAGTTAGGCATGAGGAATTAAGGATTGTATACCTGATTTCAACTGGGTAAATCAGCTAGGACCTAAATCCCAGAAGAATTTGACAGTCCATGTATGGAAGTCCATCTCAGAGGAAGGAGGGAATGCTGAGCTAACGACATTGTTGATATCCACTGCAAATTAGGCATGTGTAAATTATTGCTATAAATAGCAAAAATAAGCATTGTACAAGTTTATACTCCCATCTGTATGTTCTGACCATTTATTCATTATATTCATTTGCTCAAAACTTAGGGTCTTCTCTGTGCCTGACACTAGTTCAGGTGGAAGGTGTGAAAGGGAAAAGGAAAATAATAAGACGACAAGTTAATTTTGGAAAGTGATAAATTTGTGTCTTAACCACTAAGCCATCACGATACTCTTAGAAGAATCTTCCAGTTATGTTCTTATTGCCTATTCAGAACACCTTGTTCGTATTATCTTCTCTTTTCCAGGTATGTTTACGTGTTTGCATTTGTTAAGGGCTTTAGTCGGCAACTCTGACTCACGTGCTGTGTTTCAGAGAAAAGTCCTGTGCTGGGCTCTGAGGTCACTGGACATGGCAAGTACAGATGTCTCATGAGGAAGTAAGATGGCATGATCTGGGTGAGAAAGGTTTTTTTTGAGTTGGAGTCTTCTTCTGACGCTCAGGCTGAAGTGCCGTGGCACACCCATGGCCACCCCAGTGTTGACCTGCTGGGCTCCAGTGATCCTTCCACCTCAGCCTTCCAAGTAGCCAGAACTGCAGGCATGTGCTTCCACACCCAGCTAATTTTTGTTTTATTGTCTCACCAAGTTGCCTGGGCTGGTCTCGAACCTGCGGGCTCAGACAGTCCACTTGCCTCAGCCTCCCAAAGTGCTGGGATTACAGACTGAGCCACCGAGCCCAGCCAAGAAAGGCTATTATGGCTGCAATACAATGAAGGAGGAGGTTGGAACAGATGGAAGGAAGATATACAGGATTTAGAAGACCAAGGGAAGAAGTTTGATTTTTATCCTAAATTTGATGGAAAATGAATTGCAAACACATACATGATGTTGCTGGCAGTGTTTTAATCACTTTACATACATGAAGTCATTTAATCTTCACAACTACTTGATGAATTCAGTATTTTATATCCATATTACAGATGAGAAAGTGGAGACCCAGAGAAGTTATTTACCCAATGTAACTTTACCCATAGTCACCCAACCGGTGAGCGGCAGAGCCAGGATTGAAATTAGACATTCTGGTTTCAAAAGCTTATGGACTCAGCTTTGCTACTTCATTGCCTTTCCATTCCATCATACTGTTACTAAGTCATAGATAAACACGTAGTGAAGCTAATAGTGGAATCCGATATTCCAAAATGACATGGGGTGAAGGAGGAACGGGACATAGTAAGTCTAGAAAATCACTTGGATGTCCCCTCTCAGGGGACACAAAGAGAGATTGCTGGTGATTATTCAGGACAAACTTATGGTGCACACATTTTTCAAGAATGTATATTTCCTTGAAGTTTTTCTTTCAAATTGCACAAAACAGAGATGGAATATATACTGATATATACATTAAAAAGATCAATTGTACCCCACATCTTTAAAATAAAAATTAAATCAACTAGCATTATGTAGAAAGAGAATGTGTGAGGTGCTTTCGCAGTGGTGCCAACACTTCTTCATAACAAGGTAGTGATAAAAATCATTTGTACAAGAAAGGCAGCTGTGGATATACCCCTTGTATCATGTGGCATAACTTGAAAAGATAGATGCTAAGTTACTGTAGCCCTAAAGAGACTTTTGAAGTTGAAGGCTGATCACATTGAAGTGTTGAGTGACACAGATCACATATCGAATGTATTTGTGCTAAGTCAGAAAAGTAAAATTGGAAAAATAATTTTTAAAGTAAATTTCATTTTGTGGTTTTTGTAATTTACAATTAGATATTTTTTAATCCATTTAGTTTGCAGAACAATGACAGAATGAAAAGATAAAAGTAAGAGATATAAGCATTAGTGAAGATGAATTAGATTTAGACTTTTACACACATTAAGTTAGAAAAAATGAACATTGATATGGAAGAAAACGACAGTAGTGATGGAGTGATCCTACCATGAAGAAAGTGAATGAATGTAAGAGAAAGTGATAGTGATAAAAGTGTTAGTAATTTCGCAGAAGTAGAAG